ATAGGTGGCCATTGTATTCATTTTTAAACTCACAGCCGAGCTTAGTTCGCGTTTTTTTTCAATCCACCTAAGTACTGACAATGACAAAAATAACTTTACAGTCATGTCGCGGTAGTTCTCACGCTTTGTTTTGTCTCCTTTTCTTTCAATAGGTACAGTGGTAGGCGAGTGCCCGTGCTTCTTTGATCACGCTGCATAAATCCAAAATGTAAAATCCGGCCCTAGACGTACTGACTGCAACAGGGAGTTTATTCCTCTCCCAGTGCCTAACTCAAATAGTGAATCAAGGAGTTTTTCCGAGAAGGAGTGACGTATAGCCGTATAGCCTCATCGAATTATCATCGGCGCTAAAATAAAGTCCACCGTCAGGCTGTGCCTTGTCGAAGACATCGAAAATCAAATTCACTTAAAAAGGACATAACGAAACATCATCCGATTTAGCAGCCGCCAGTCACAGTACCTTCTTATCTTTCAGCTACCTCGGCGAAACTAAGCCTGCCGAATACGGCAGTACGAAATGGTGCCATTCTTCCCATTGCCTGTGGCACTACGGTATACTGATAGCTACCGCTGTCTATTAAACGGACGTCAGCGGAACGCTCCAAGTTTTATACATGACATTGTTACTCTAGCAGAGGAGTCAGTTATTGTTCGCATGAGTCGATCAGTTTGTCTTATGTCTGCAACTACCAATACGAAAATCGGTTCCGATTGTCACAATGACTGGTAAAACCGGCCCACCGAGCGACTAGTCACTGCAAGTAGCCTTTTTTGCCCCCCAGAAATGCAGTCGTAGAGTTCGCTTCGCAGCCTGTGTCCACGCTTTATTTAGTCCTATCATCTTTCGTGAAAAGGTGCACTTTTCACCCAAAAACGTTAACTTTTTTACAAAAGTAAAAGGGGCAGGAAATCAACTCCGTTCGCGCTGTTCGGTGATCCTACTGCCTCCTAGCAACATCAGGAAATGCACTGAATTGTTTCGAGCCATACCTCATTTTACGCTCGATAGGTTACTGCTCCACCTCTGCCGTTCGCTATCTTGCGCTTGACTAAATTTCAAGGAAGCTGTTCAGTCAGTATTCTGCCATCGGTTTTCCACACTCCTGAGACAGTTTCTGAAAACAACCCAATGAACGCAGATTCTTAATTAGCTTTCCTTGGGTTCAGGTAACAATTCCAACATTTAAGCCGTTTGGAAGTTGATCCGTAAACGACAAGATTCGTCATATCAGCATGCTCTCGGTTCTCTGTGTAAGCACCTATGGGAGAGCATGTTCCAGACAAAATTAGTCTAAAAATTCCGCTCGGCAGACAAATCGCTCTTTTTCACCGCTCATCAGCAACTGTTGATTTTAAGGAAAATATAAGAGTTTCAGAAACTCTGATGGTCCAATTTTTCACTGTATCAAAATGTCAGACAATTCGAGTTTAAGTTCCCAAATTAAATTCAAACTATAGCTGAAAATGGATCTAAAGACAGAACGGTGGAATATCCGGTAGATAATTAACATCGACCATCTGTTGACTTGCCACTCACAGCGACCCAAACGTCTACACCAACTCGTCGTTGAGCCGCATAATTCCTGCGTACTTTTACATTTAAGTAGGCAAGTGTATTACGTTATATTTTTTCTTCAGACAACTGGGCATTATTGTTCGCGCAACGTGTCGCTCTGAAATTCTCGGTACCACTGTACGTCTGCTTCAACCTCTCTTCCTCTTCGGCTCTTTCAACGCGTCGACACTTCGACTTCCAGTTAGCCGGCCTAAAGGAGATTGCAACAGTAAGTCGTTGTTTTCTTGTCAATGCCGAACTTAGCTTACTTGCGGCCACCACATCGCAAGATGAAGGCATCGCTTTTTTTCGTTTCATGCAATATCACGCGGCTCAATCAAGTACCAACATATATGCCGT